GAATTATTAATAATAATGATAAGCGCTCTGCTGTGTACATAAAATTTATTAATTCGAAAGAGATTAAAAGAAATAAAAATCAGGTACAATGCATATTACGGAAAATTACTCTAAATGAAGTTCAGCACTAATTACAAAACTAATATTAATAGAGAAGAATATTAAATAAAGTTAAGGACACTTAACTAAAATCAAGTTCGTCAGCGAGACAGTTAAAAAACAACGACAAAGTCCTGCACAAAAAAGCTCAACCTACTCCCTTATGAGAGTTTTCTCGATTTTTGGGACACACCACGAAGAAAACCGTCGTGACCATACAGAATCGTATTACAACGAGGAACTATACTTATGTTTCAAAATCGTCGTCCAAAAAAACCTACCGTAGCAATCGTTACAAGCAAAGGCCATTTCTCTTCAAACTCTTTCAAAAAACTCCCCAAAGCCCTCTTTTCCACAGAGTGCTTCTCTCCTCAAGTCCACTTCCCTCTAGTTAGAGTTCATTAAAGACCATAATACGTTTACACTTGCACATTTAAGTTACCAAAACTTCTTTGATAGACTTGTGCTTTATGCCTCAGTTTTTCTTTTCTAACTGCATACAAATCACAAATTCCCTAACCCCGGGCAAACCTTTGATGATAAATGCCCACCATGGGGACACAGCACTTCATAAGTGCCCCACAAATACCTGGCGGCCCACAAATACCGGGCGGGATAGACACGCTTGAAATTCACTAAACCATTATGATAATTATGCCACCAACAACCACAATTACAAAAGAATGTAACATTTTGCAATATCACAACCACGACTCCCAAGCATACGCTCCCGAAGCGTCTTGTTGAAAGTTGCGCCCATGAAGAGTGGTGATGCCCGTTATGGCTCTTGGTGGGGGTTCATTGTATTCATTATTGGACAGCCAACGTTAACCTGTATCAGGCGGTCCGTTGGCTACTCTCGAAAGGTGATCGTTTAACGCAGGTTTGACTATTGAGAAGTGTTAGTAAATCACCCTGAGCCGGATTTTTTGGAACTCAATTAAGAAGTTGTGTAATTGTCATAAACTTTGTTATTTTCGTTGATTAAGTTGTTCCCTTTGATCTTTAATTCACTAACAGAATTGAACGGTTCATTTTCCTTTAAGGTTTCATGCCGCTGTACATCAAGTATGGCCCTTTCAACAGAATACACCAGTGAACAGAACTATTCCAGAATTTTCTATGCCACCACTGTTATACTGGCTGAGGGCCTGAGAGAAATTTTTAAACAAGAATGGGACAATCAGTATAAATCAACAAAGGGAGAATGGAAAGATGACCCTCGGAATGGAATGGACTTCTATAACGGCGAATCCTCGCGAAACCGAAAAAGATATGCTCGTATTTTGGCGATCATCAAAAACGGGGACAGAAAGGAATGGGACTGTTTAACACTGTTTTACGCCATTCTTTCCTCCGATTCCCTCAAACCCGGTCTTGGTGCAACAGTCAGAAAAAATGTGGATGATCTGAGACACTTACGGAATGAATGCGCTCACTTTTCCGGAGGTATCCTCTCTGATATAGAATTTCACGCAGCCATTAGCAAACTTCATTGTGCGTTTCAAGCGCTTGGTCTCCCGACTGTAAAAATTCAAGACATAAAAAACAAACCCTTTCCTTTATCAGAGGATTTTCAAGAAATCATGAAAAAAGAGTTTCGCCAGGCGGTTGAAGATTATAAGCAGGAACTTCAACAGACAATAGAACTAAAACAAAAGACAGAAGAGCTCTTCAGAAAGGTCATTCTTGACGATCAAGCCCAGAAGAAGTTCTTGAAGAGTCAAACGCCACTGCTTCCAAGTGAAATTAGAGCACGGGGGCTAAAAGCAATTCTTGCCTACGAAAATGCTTTGAAAACTGGAAAAGTTATGGTATACCGTGCTCGAATCATGTTAATAGGTCAAGATCGAACTGGCAAAACTAGTTTGAAGAACTCATTCTTAGGTCTTCCATTCGATCCCGAGCAGCAAAGTACTGACGGAATTGAACTGGACGTGTCAAACTTCGAGGTCGATGTCGATCAAGTAAGCAACTGGAAACGCGCTGATGAAAAACAAGGTGTGTCTAAATTTGTGCCCAATCTTGTGAGAATGGTAGCTGGAAAACTCGAACAAGAAGAAACAAAGGTGGATCCAGCTCAGGAGAAAACAGTGAGTCAGGTTAGTGTCTTCAAATAAAGACTTACAAAATAAGACATAGATATCGATTAAGAATTAAAAAGGCTGGTATTCACTTGCGACGGAGTCGGAGTCGGAGTCGTAATCAGAAGCGTAGAACTGTACGATCTAGTGAAAACAGCGTTCTGTTTCTGCTTACGACTCCGATTAAGTGAAAACTAGGTTGTCGGAATCGCAAGCAGAGGCCGAAGAACTAAACCAATCACAAGGCGTGGGAACGTGCAATGTGATTGGTTCAGGATTCCAGCTCAGGATGAAAAAATTGAGAAAACAGTGGGTCAGGTTAGTGTTTTCAAGTAAAGACTTACAAAATAGGACGTAGATATCGATCAAGAATTATAAAGGCTGGTTTTCACTAGCGACGGAGTCGGAGTCGGAGGTGTAATCGGATGCCTAGAACTTTACGATGTAGTGAAAACAGCGTTCTGATTCTTCTTACGACTCTGTCGTTTACGATCAAGTGAAAACTAGGTTGTCAGAGTCACAAGCAGAAGCGGAAGAACTAAACAGATTACAAAGCGTGGGAACGTGCATTGTGATTGTTTTATCCATCCGCTTCTGCTTCCGATTCCGACAATCTGGTTTTCACTAGATCGTAAGCGACGGAGTCATAAGCGGAGTCGGAAGAAAGTGAACACGTTCTGATTCTTCCCACTACGATTCCGTCGCGCTTATAACTCTCTGCTTCCGACTCCGATTTTTTATTTTCACCTAGTCATAAGCGGTCTTAAGACTCCGCTTACGACTCCGACTTCTACTCCGTCGCTCACCTAGCCGTAACAGAAACAAAATAGTAGGTTTTTAACGTAGTGGACGTCAGAAAATAAGACGCGTTTGGAACAAGACCTTTATCGTCACAAACATCATTTTTGGGATACAACATTTGAAGTGATCTCTTTGCTACTCATAGTAATCCTCGGACAATCTGAGAATAGTCCTTATGAAAATGTCAGAAAGTAATGTGTTATTTGTCATTTTACCCAATCTTTTAGTCAGTTGGTTTTGTCGGTCCCGGTCCAAGAGAACCTGAAAAACAAGAAGCACTGATGGATCCAAAACGTCAAGTTACACCGGCAGAGGATAAATGTCAAATAAGTGAGGTCAGTGACCACTTCGTCGAATTAACTTTATCGTTAAATGTAGGAAACTTCATTATTGGAACAGCGTGGCAGCTGGGAGCTTGTGGTGTCATGTGTAATATAGGACTCAGGGATTACGGTATTGTTGTTTTGAGCATTTAAAGTATGATTTAGTAGAAGGATAAAGGGTCGCTGAAGGGATCGATCACTGAAAGCTGATTGTTAGATAATAATTGGCAACAACCATGATATGTCCTGTGATGTTATAGCGAACCATAATAACATCACAGTCTCCAAATTCCCAAAAGAAGCTGACATGATTAAAACCCAAGCCAATGTGTGGCTTCATAGTTCAGTTGGTAGAGCATCGCACCGGTAACGCGAAGGTCACGGGTTCGAATCCAGTTGAAGCCATGATTTTTCAGGCTTCTTCTTTCCAATTGCTTAAATTGGAAAATTTACTGCGATGATCATTCTTCTCTTTCATCTACAACCGCAGTTCAAAAATGAATTATTTCATATATACTTCTCATCATGATTAAAACCGTTCCATAATTTCAAAATGGACACCAAAAACAAAAGCCCTTAGAGCATGTGCGAAACGGAAGGCGGCTGACCAGGAGTCCTCTTCACTGTATTGTTTCCACGCGTCATTCACTTCGGTTTTCCCAGTTTAAAGGCTTGCAAACATTCATTCTCTTTAGAATAGCCGCCATCTTTAAGCATTTTGTTAGGATTGATGGGACAAAATCAATATCAGATGTTTTTTGTCAGGGCGCAAACCGTCAAGTTTGCGGTCGAGGTTGTTGCTTCCCCTTGAATGAGATAACCTGCATTTCAGTGTTGTTATTGCTACTGCATTCAAAATGTGACAATGATCACTTCTACTCATAATTTGCCATTATCGTCTTTAAGGTTAAAAGTTCTTTACTTTCTGTTGTTTATAGCCCGTTTCAAACGTCGTTCTACTGCCCTGTCGAACTCAAATGAATTTGAATCGGCGGTTTCACGGCAATAACACGGGAGTGGTTTCAAACGTTGAATTTAATTCAGTCGCGCCAGAAAACGTCAAAACAAACCTTCCATCCATCCAAAATGGCGGACAGAAACTTAAGGGAAGATCACGATCGGAAGAAATTTGCTTTCCTGAAGACGATTTTAAACGCCAGACGGCAACGGCAGCTGATGCAGCAGTCCATTTTAAATCCTTTTATTGCAAGGAGAAGGTTAATTCTTAAAGTATGCGCTTTTGCTCTCCTTCTGCTTTTCTTTCACGAAAGCAAGAAAGATGTCAGCTAGATTTCCGTACCTTCTTAACTGTTTTCTTTTTCTTGCCAGGCCGCTTCGAGTCTTCTTGATTTCTCTATTCAGGGCCGCTCTCCTTGTCGGAACTTTCTTGTTCGGAGTCTTGCTCTATTGATTCACAATCTACTGTGTTTTCTTCATCGGAAATTTAGAAATAGAGATTGTGTACGGACTTAAACTACTTTGCCATTTTGCCACCATTTTGTCAAAACTCTCATCCCAGAGCCGGCCACGGTCAGCTACAGCATGCGCAGTCAGGCACAGTGGAGTCAAAACGCTTAAACATATACATTTTCATATTTTATAAATAGAGTTTGGCACGGCAATAGCGCGACGTTTGAAACCGAGCCGTGTCACTGCCGTGTAGCACAGCAGACCCTGTCGAATTTAATTGCCGTGTCGAACTAAATTCAAGTTGCTGAACTGAATGATTTCAAACGTCGCGCCACCTTAGGCTCGATTTCCGCCGTCTCCCGTGTCCGGTCTTTGATCCTCCTTCGGGGGATGAGTGCGGGCTCATTTTCCCAAACAGCGGCTGGTAATCGAGCCTAGCCAACGCCGTGCCAAAGTCGAATTAATTCTATCAATTGAGTTCGGCACCGCAGTAGCACGACGTGTGAAACAGGCCTATGTCATTTTATCACTTGTTGCTCCCTGAGAAGACACTTGACATTGCCCTTATCCCATCAGTCCCTAAGGGCGTGCAAAGATGGCGGTATCGCGGATATGGTCTATTTATTCATTTTTTAATCAACTTGAACTTGAACTTAAAGCAAGGAAATATGCTCAGACAAGATTTTGTCCTTGATTTTGATTTATTAGCACGGACGTATTAGTTAATCGTCATTCGCAAGCAATATTTGTTGCATAATTTTTTATTGACTGTTTAACCGTCCGATTTGGCTTGTCCTATCACAAGCAGCGAAAGGTCTAATCGGACAGTTCTGATGCTGCATCAGCCTTGCATTAGCAAAATCAAGCAATAAAGTTTGGATGTTGAGAACCAATCCGATTCGAGTATTTTGGTTATTGAAACCGTTTTTTTCAATTATACAGCTCGTTAAACTTAATTTGCTCTAACAACTTCTCACTGATACTCCTATTTCAAAATCTGTTTTAGAGTACTACTGGGAAAGAGGGAGAAGGGGAAATAGAAGCAGCCGCGATACCTGAACTGAAAATCGATCCTGCCTTACCTCCAGAAGAATTTACGGAACTCCTTGTTCAATATCTGGAAGGTTTAAATCTTGACAATGACACCTCAGTAGTTGAACACCACGTGGACCTTGATCTGTGGGACTTTGCCGGGCAACATCTTTACTATACATTTTGCCCAGTTTTCTTTTCGTGGCGGGCAGTTTACTTACTGGTTTACAACCTCAGCGAAGGATTAAATGAAATTGCCAAGCCTTGTTTCAGACGAGGATTTTTGAACATTCCCCTTGAGAACACAAATCGCCAAACAAATTTGGAAAATTTGTTGTCGTGGTTGGTCACCCTCAGCTCAGTTTGCTCATCAAAGCCAGAAGCGAATGAAAAAACACCGTCAGAATCAGATCTGCGCTACACTCGCCCACCAGTGTTCATAGTGGGAACACATGCGGACGGAAAACAGGATCAGTATGTCAAAGAGATGGAATTACAAATAGCGAAGGAAATTTCCGAAAAAGACTACGAAAGTCACGTGATCCGCCCTTTCTTTTCAGTTGATAATACGCAAGGATCATCTGATGAGGGGGTCGCTGCACTTCAGAAAAAAATTATCGAAGTTTTGAAGAAAGAACCATATATGGGGAAGGAGATACCCCTAAGGTACACTTATTTTCAGCCCAAAGTAATACAAAATAAAATTAATTTGCTTCCTGGTTTACACTCTATTTTTTTCTTAGAACCTTTTTTCATAAGAAGGTTCAGCCTGAAATTTGCCAAAATATTAAGAATATGCTAAGAACATAACCGAGTGTCGGAAAAGAAGAATTTGTTTTTTACTGCTTTCTCTTTCCTAAATCCAGAAAATCTGAACACTTTCATAATTTCCTACATGGAATCAGAACGCATGTAAAATTTTGTTCTTTCATCACATTCCTATTGTGTATGGTCAATAACACATTTGCACTGTACTTTTACAATCCATTACTGTGAAAAATATAACCATTGTCTTCAGAAAAGTGTCACTAGTACAATGTCCGTTATTGAAATTTAAGAACATCCGCAACAACATTTCCAGGCTGAAACTGCCCAGAAAATAAGAACGGTCCAGGCTCAACTCGAAAAATGGACGTTCTTATTAAAAAAAGAGTATTAAAGTTAATGGTTAATTTAACTAAAAGTAGGATGGTGATTACTGGGAGATCTTCTGAACGGTAGGGATGGAAACTTGGTTGTGCCCACTGATATAAGGAAAACACACCAGCAGGATGATACAAGCGTACTGATTACAGTGTTGGAACGGCTATTATTGGTTGGTCGTGGGTTCAAAGCCCTGTTTAAAGAAACTTTCTTGCCGCTGTTGCGGCCTTCCGAAAGAATGATAAACCCCCTTTGAGCTGTCTGTGTGTGGATCATGCTTAACGTTGCCTGTTGACACAAGGTGGCACCGAAAATATTTGTGTCCGTTTTTTTTTTTTTTTTTTTTTTTTAGCGAATCAGTAATTTCTGTCCCATGTGAAAAAGCTCTAGGGTTTTATACTTATTAGTGCAACGGCACAATCGCTTCAACTTTGACAGAATTGCGAAAAAAGGTTCAAATTAAACTTTGATATTTATTTTTCAGGTGGTTCAACTTCGAGAAGGTTGTACAAGCTTTGGCTGCTGAAAATGTACATTTCTTGAAATTTGATCAACTTAAAGGCATCATCCGGAAATTTTGCTTCATTGAAAATGAGGATGAGGTCGTCACTTTGTTGGATTACTATCATGACATCGGAAAGATTGTCCGGCACCACAACACAGTCGTACTTCGGGCCAAATGGCTGATTGACATCTTCAAAAAACTTGTAACCATTTGCCCCTTTGATGAGTCGGTAAGAAACAAAATGTCAAGTGCATGTAATACTGTTAGGAGATCCCCCTAGCTTACCGTTTGGCCCTGTCTGATTTCATGTGACTAGTTATGGTCTGAGTTCAGGTACAGGGAACGATTATGGCTGAGATGGCTTTAGCTGCCCCTCTCCCACCTTGACATATATTTGGTAATTTTGACAAAGGGAGGACTGAGATTCGAAACAGAATCGATTCTTGACCTGCACACACATTTCAAGCCAATTGAGACCTTTCAATGCACTCATTTTTCATCTTGCGACCTTACGGTAGAAAACAAACTTTTTATCAAAGAAAAAACTGCTCAAAACGTATTCCTCAAGACGAGACATTCTAAGAAAGGAAATCAGCTCTACAGCAAACAAAACGAGCGCAAAAGCAATATTGCTATTTGACACGAGCTCTCATGAAAAACCAGTTCGCTCAAAAAAAATCCTCAAGAAATTTCCTCTAATAGACCTTTCCCGCATTACGCACCAGTGAGCAAACATAAAAAAATGAGGACGAGGCTTGGGTGGGCAATTTCATACAAATCACTGTATTTTGTCCACCCAAGCCTCGAGTTGGTGCCTTTGTTTACAGGAATGCGGGAAAGGTCTACCTCCTATGGAAGAACGGATTGTTAAAAGACATTCTTCTTAAAGCAAAAGTATAAAGCAGTGGTCTCGACTATCGTGCTGGCACCGGAGGCACCGCTGTCCTCCTCCTTTCAACAAACTTCTTAAAACTTTTCGTCCAGTGCATATGAGAATAATAATTCTTTCTTGTAGGCTATAAACAGTCCTTTTTTGGGCTCTGAGATATTTTATCTAAGTATTCTTTTGAAGAGGTACCGCAAAAATAGATAAGGATGCTTCGTTGGGTTGTTGATGGGTGTGAAATTTAGCGGCCCATCTAAAACCAAACAGAGCCAGTGAATGAAGAAGCCTTGGAAGCCACACTTTTTTCAGTTTAAAGTTTTCTTTCTTCCCACGAACAATCAATGAATGGGACTCCCTACCCGTGAATATTATAATTACCCTGTCTGTAGACAGTTTTAAATCTAAGTAAGGTTTTAATATTCCATTGTATTAGTGTTATTCAGATTTCAGTTATATAATTGCATAATTTCTTGTGTTGTTTTTATTATTTCAGTTGGTGTGATATTTCGTGATTTTACTGACTTGTAGAAGTGTAGATGTAGTTGTAGATACAGATAAGGCTTTTTTATTTGTCGGGTGCTGTTCGTTTTTGTAGGAACCAAGTCATTCCAAGTTGTGGAAACAAATGGAGAGAACAGGCGTCCTCGATATGGAGCTTGTTAATCACGTGTTTTGCAATGAGTTTCATCAGTACAAGGATGATATTTTGGACATGATGGAGCAGTTTGGACTGATCGCCAAGTTTACCAAATCTCCAGGAAAAGACGTTTACCTTGTTCCCTGTCAACTTCGAACACCGCCTGACGCCCTTAGTAAAATTGAGCCACTCTCTTCAGATCCTTGTGCATTATACCTTCGTTTTCTCGGAAGTTTTGTTCCTTATGGTTTTTTTTCTCAGCTTGTGTCACGATGTGTCACGTGGTGCTGTCCAGCTGGATCCGAACTGCCTAACTTGTTCGACGGGGCATCTCGATTCTTCATTGGGAATGAGCAAAATCACCAGTTGATCCTTGTATGCAAGAAAAGATATATCAAGATCATTTTGAATGAATTGAAGCAAGATGATTCCCCATTTGATGGTGCGGCGAAATTGCAAGACGTAGCTATCAAAGTGCGAAAATTTCTGGAACACACGATGCAAACTATATCGCACGAGCTGTCTGGGTTTAAAAACTTGGCTTATGAATTGTGTGTCGAATGTCCGTTGTGCTTAAAGGAGCCTAAAAAATGTGATATTCATAACCAATTTTCTTGCCCCAACGAGTACTGTATGTGCCTCTTGAAAGTTGCTGTAGATGGGTCATTTGAATGTTGCCGAAAGAGCTTTGACAGGGTGAAACCGAAACTCCCTCAGCTCCAAATGTGGTTCCCCGTCAAAGGTGAGGTTGAGGTTATATGCAAAAAGAAACTCTCGAATGTTTTTTTTTTAGTCAACTCATCTAGAACAGTCGCACCTCTCTTTAGAAAGGCCTTTCCTTTACATACTTACACAATCCCTGCCTTAAAAAAAATTCCTGACAAGAATTTTGGACTCGGTTACACCTACGAATTTGCAGTTTATTGGTCTGACTGTTTTCCGGTCTAAACATGCCAGTTGATATATATTGAGTACGATCTATCCGAGAGTAAAACTAAAACTTTAAGTGCCTTTTTTTTGAGGCAGTTGTTTCCCAGTGTGAAGATGGCCCCTTTCGACGATCTTTTGTTTTGCCACTCACTTTATGCCTTAAATTATGTGCCCATACATGTAATTAATTTGCACCTCGTAGAGATATTCGCACACATTAGTGATTTCAGGGATAAAATTTATTTTAAATTATCTTCACTTACGCCTTAGAGTCTCGACTGTTGAGTGGCGGGCCACACCAACAGAGAATAATGGGACAGAGAGGGTAAAGCCCAGTATAGCCTTTAGGATATGTAAATTTCACCAACGTTATTTTTAGACCAGTTAAACGCTTGAAATTAATCGGAAGTTTCTTTCTATTCTTAAAAAGTGAGCAAAATTTTATTCAGTGTTGTCTGGAGAGAAGAACGGGACATTTTGCTCTCTTGGTGTGTCCCCATTACAACATTCTAAATTGCTTGCTTTAAGTCAGTCGAGCGTGGACTTAGGGCCTTTTTTACATGAAGGTGGGGGACCCCAGTTAGGTGAGGTAACATGTGGCGGGTTACCCCACCTAACATGTAAACGTGAACACATTAAAATGAGAGATTATATGGACAGGCGGGTTACCCTTCCTAAGCGGGTTACCTCGCCTACCTGGGGTTCCCCACCTTCATGTAAACAGGCCCTTAATGACGTTTCAAACAACCGATTTAAACGTGTTCACGTGCCAACGTTTGCACTGGCTCTTTCTTCAACTTGTAACATGGAAATCTAGCACGTTCTGTTTAGGTCTTCGCTTTGTCAGTTATCTTGGCCTGAAAACTTGTTTGCTCATTTTAGTGCTGAGAATTTCGGAAGGAGCCTTTATAAAAATAGCCTCACCCCCTCTCCTGTTCTGATCATATTTACGGTATCTTTTCTTCACACCCTACTCCCCTAAGTCGGCACTTGTTACGCTACGGTGGCTTACGAAATTTTCGTGGTCGATGATCTGGCCACGTATCGGTAATCGCAACCTTTGTTTCTCGAAAAATAGAGGCACTTTACCTTAAACAATAAAAAGACCGTAAAAGGAGCGAGAATCTCTTTCATTGTTAACCCAAAAGTGCAACCCAAAGTTTCCGGTCAATTTCAACCTCTACAAATAACTTAAATGAAATTCACATATCCCGGCCAACGCCCCAAGATTCCTTCTTTTTCACATTGTTCTCTCTTGGCCGCGCCCATTAATGTCACAAAGTGGCAAGTTATTTTTAACACGGAAAGGCTCACACTTAAGCATTGCTGTCATAATTTCCTGATAGATATGTCCCAAGAAGACGTGCGTGTACCTTCTGGATCCAAGAGAAAGGCGTCATGTTCCACTTCTCAGATTCCTAAGAGAATCAAACCTACAGGTAGCCTTATTTTTCGCAATCTGGTTTCTTGGGGATAAAGTGCTGCTATTAATTATTAATAATCCAGGGGACAGATTTTGAAAAAGTAAAGTCAAAAGACACGACGGACGCGCCATTAGCCCGACCT